GTCTGTAAATATACATATAATGTAAAATAAAATGATTACTATTTTAACAAGTTTAAATTCAAATAAACAAAAAAAAATATGATTTCATCTTTCACACTTTTACATAAATGTGTGTTTTTAAGCGTACAATCATTTTAGTCTCGACATAACTAAAGATATTTTCAACGTAACTTAAATTATTTACAGATTGTTTTTCATTTTCACGTTAATGTCAGAAACACTTCTATGACGGAGCTTTAGGGCAACGCTAAGAAAAAATTGCATACGAACGAGAATAAAGTCATAATATTAAGAGTTTATTATGAATTTGGTCTCGTAATTTTCTAGTTTATTCTCGCATGACTTTATTTACATAGTATTACGACTTTATTCTCGTAATTTTATAACTTTTTTCTTGTAATGTAATTTTTTTTTCGTAGCGTTTTTTCTAAAGCTCCATTGTACTTTTCACTAAAAATAAAAAATAAAGTTGAATTTTAAATGAAAATTTAGAATATCAAACTGTGCACAAACATCAGCTGAAAATGATCTAACAGATAAAAAGTTTATTTAAAAAAAATAATAATTTTATCAACAATGTTTTGTCAGTGTACTATTTTGTTCAAAGTAATGAAGTTTGAGAGTTTGTGAAGGGCTGCAGCACAAAGAGCAACTGCTGATATGACTTGACGCTTCTAGTTATTTTTATTTGTTTGTGTAAGAAGTCCTGCAGGATTTATTTAATTTGACACCTGTATATTTACTTATATTTACTTTTTAATAATAAAAAAAACAACAAAGAACCTGAATGATTCCAAAGGAGCTCGATGGCTGAATACAATTCTTCAAATAGAAAACAACATCATCGTCGTAAAGTTTGACTTTATCATGAAATTAGGTTGAAACAACATAACGTTCATAAATACATCCCTAAATTATACCACAAATTAACAGAACAGTTTAAAATGATAAATAAATAATGTTTTAATCTTTTTTTAAGATACTTTATAAAAGTTTTTACCTGTTTTAGTTAAAACGCAGAGTTTTAGTAAAAACATGTAGTTAAAACGTGAAATGCTTATTTTACTGAAAAGGTTTTTTTTTTCTTTTTTTGGTGTTATTTAAATAATCCTGAGCTGAAATTTTACAGATTAACAGACAATATTAGGTCAACTCTTCATCGTGTGTGTGAAACTGACCTTGCGGTCTTTTTCACACCAAACACCAACTTCCTGTCGAGTTTTTCGTCACACTCTTTCTAGTTTTGATCTTGTCAGACCTGATGTTCTGTCCCTTGAGGCCCAAGTAAATCTGAAACAGACTGTCTGTTTTTAACATCAGCATTACCATGGCAACATGACAGCTGAGGTTGTGCCATCAGTTGTGATGAAAGAGTTTCTTCACCATTGAAGAAAGTTGAAGCTGGCTTCTTCGTTGGGTCTGACATCAGATATTTAAAATTAAAATGAGATTGCAGATGGAAACTTCCGACGAGGCTTAAAAACCACAGAAATGTGGAAATAACTGAACCTTCAGCCTGGTTCAGTGTGAGTTTATTATCGCGCTTTAACTGATTAAAAAAAAAAAAAAAAAACATTCAGCAGCACATTTAAAAACTGAGCTGATTGTACTTCGTTAAATTTAGCTAAATATACATTGAGTTTGGTCAGAGTTCATTTTCTCACAAGCTTCACTTTTTTGGTTAAAAAATAATCAGATGTAGACTTTGAAAACAGGATGTTGCAAAAATGTATTTTAAAACTTAAAAAAATATATATAAAAATATTCTACTTTCAAGATTTCTTTAAAGTTTCAGTAAAATTAGACATGAAACTTCTTGAAACTTAAATAAAAACCAGCGGCTTTATTTCAAATCTCGACTTATTCAAGGTAAAGGCAAAGAACAGGACATAGTCATCATTAAAACAAGCGTCTGGATCGTCCTAACTCTGGACGCTCTCTTATCTCGAACTCGAGGCCTACCCACAAATGTCTCTTTGATGCCCGTGAAATGTGTTTGTGAAGACAAAGAGTGTTGTGTGAGATGGTTATAGTCATTATGTGTATAACCTGCCCTAGATCAGCACTTGCAAGTAAAATGCTGGTTAAAAATCTTCACCTGCCATTGAGTGCGAGTTCTTTTGAGTAAACAAGGTTAGCAAACGAGATAATTTTTCAGACAGAAACAAAACCTAAAAAGAATACACATGCATTAATGTATATACATGAATACATACATACATATGGTACATACATAACACATACATACACATATACATACGCATACATGCATACATGCATACATACATACATACATATATACATATGGTACATATACAGACTCATATACAGACTCGTGCTTATGTTCTTGCTGCTGTTCAACGTAATGTTTTTATGCTATTAGTGCTTAATGTATTTTTGTTGATGTTTTTCTTAGTTCACATCTTAGATGTTATCATTGTTTTTCTTTTACATTTTACTGTGGGATGTAACTGGGACCCTGTGTACATAATTTCGCTCCACCACGTGTACCACATACGGTGCGAATGACAAAGAATCTCTCACTCTGACTCCGACATACATACAGTACATACATACATACAGACATACAGACATACATACATACAGTACATACATACAGTACATACATACATACGTACGTACGTACATACACACAGTACATACATACAAACGGTACATATATACAAACAGTACATACATACACATACATGAATACATGGGTATGTGATCAGATGTAGTACATGTCAAGGTTTGACATGTTACTCAGGTCTGTGTGTGACTGTGTACAGTATGTGTATACCACTGTGAGGACTTCATTAGACATGAGTTCAGCAGTCTGAGTGGTTATAGTATGAAACTGTTGCAGAATCTGATGGTTCTGATCCTCAGATTGCCAGAGACCAGCAGAGGAAACTGTTCATGTAGGGAGTGTGAGTTGTCTTTAGTGATGTGGTTGGCTTTGGAGAGGCAGCGTCAGAGATCTGTGTCTTTAATGGAGGGGAGAGAAGTCTTAATGAATCTCTCTGCCATTCTCGTTATCCTCCTCACAGTCAGTATTACACATGAATATGCCTTCAGGTTCTTCCAATCTGCTGCCGAGCAGCTGACTGGAGAAGGGATCCTCCAGACAGGGAAGGGGAGCAGGGTCCTCTCCACCCTCTACAGGGGGACCATGTTCCTGATGGTACCCCTGTAGAGGGTGGTGAGGACAAGGGTTGGGATCTTTTCAACCAGTGGAGAAAGTGCAAATGTTGCTGAGGTTTCACTAGAGACCCATTGTTCTTTGACCAGGACAGCTGGTCCATTATGTGCACCCCAAGAACCTGATAGTCTCCACCACCTTTACCGCTGTGTTGTTTATGAGCAGTGACATAGATATCTGAATTTGTTAAGCTACTTTGTTCTGTTGACATTCAGGACCAGGTAATTTTTTTCCACACCAGTTCATGAGCTGTACCTCTTCCTGGTATGTCATTGTTGGTACTGATCAGGCCCATAACTGTTGTATCGTCTGCATACGTGATGATTTGGTTGGTTGCAGACCTGGCAATTCAATCGTGGGCCTTCGGGGTGAAGAGAAGTGAGAATCGGAACACAGCCCAGTGGAGAGCTTGTTATCAGAACAATGACAGAGGAACACAAAGTTTGTTTTCTCAGTCATCCAGGTATATAACAACAAAAAAGGTTGAATCATGTCATCTGGACTTCGTTTTTTTGTTAAAAAGAAACGTTTCGCCCCTCATCCAAGAGGCTTCGTCAGTCTGAGGCCTAGCCATCTGGTATTACCCAGAAGCCACCCTGACTCTTGTGTTTCAAGCCTGCCTCAGATACCCCTGAAGTCTGGCCTTTTCACTAATGGTTTCAAAAACACAAAGTTTGTTTTCTCAGTCATCCAGGTATATAACAACAAAACAACCAGATGGCTAGGCCTCAGACTGACGAAGCCTCTTGGATGAGGGGCGAAACGTTTCTTTTTAACAAAAAAAACGAAGTCCAGATGACATGATTCAACCTTTTTTGTTGTTAATGACAGAGGAAGTTTTCCTTAGCTGCCGTGTGGTAGAAGACAGAGAAATAGAAGGTAGCCTGGATTCCTACTTCCAGCCTTATGTTGTCACATACACGGCATCACACTAACGTGCTAGTTGTGTTGCTACTACTCTGAACATATCTCAGTCTGTACATTCAGAACAGTCACATGAAAGTGTTTCAGTTTCTACTCCGAGGTTCTGGTTGGATTTTTTTATTTTTTTTTGTCTCTGTTCTTGTGTTTCATGAAAACCTGGTGAGAAAACGTCAGAAAATTTTTACCCAGGAAGTATAAAATTTGGGCAGATAAGATCAGCTGCTGACTGACTTCTGGTTCTACCCCCTTTGCTTGGTCCTGAGACCAAAATTCTTAACATTTTGTTTTTGTTTGGTTCCGAACCGTGAAGGGACATTTAAAATGAACAACAATCGCAGTTGCTATTCAGAGTTTCACTGTTTTGTTTTTAATCTCTGCTGGTATAAATTACCAATTTCTATTGTCATCTAAAGTTTGTCTCAGTTTCAAGGGGTGATGCCGTTTGTGTCTCTGACCCGTTTGAAAGTTCTGATGAGGTTTCTGAGAAACGTAGAGCAGCTCTGTTTTACTAACACACACATACTCACACTGAACCACATGAACATACACCTGTCAGTTAATGAGCCACAGCAAGAGCTCGGTAGCAGCTGAGCAAACCGCCGAGTTCGTTCTCCCACACATGCACACGCACGTGCGTTTTTGTTTCAGGTTACCTTGTAGGGACCGATTTAACAAAAAATCATGCATTGTGGGAACCAACTGCTCTTTATGGGGACCAAAGCCAGGTCCCCATAAGAAGAAGTCTCGTTGGGGGGTTAGAGTTTAGGTTTAGGACTAAGGTGCAAATGGGTTAGGGTTAGGCATGTTCTAGTTTAGGGTAAGGGTCAGGGTTAGGTTATAGAAAATGAATAGAAGTCAATGCAAAGTAACCAAAATGTATGTTTACAAGAACGGTAAAACTAAACCTAAAACCTTCTTCAGGTCTAAACTGTGCGTTTCCTCTCACCATCTCTCAACAGAGGCGTTGGACATTTCGGACCCTCAGCTCTGTTACATCCTGGATGGGTTCCTGGGTCTCTATGGTCTCATCATCACTGGCATGTTCATCAAGGAGAAGGTGGGTCTGAGGGTTTTATAGGGACTTCATAAATTAGGTTCTGTTGCTCTTGGGTTCTAATTAAATCTCCTTTTTACTGTTTTCGACTCATTTGTCTTTGGTCTTTGATTTGTCCAAATGTTTGTTTGTTGGCACAAATGTTTGTCTTTCTTGTGTTTAAATTGAGTTTTTATTTAGTACACAACTTGGTGTTATCAATCTTACTCTGGATTATGAAGCACTGACTCTGAACTCGTGTTTCTTCTTCTTTTCTTGGTTTTAGTACATGTTGGGCTTAACCTTGGATGTATTTAGGAACTTTCTGGTCTCTAGACTTAAGTCTGAATGGTCGTGGTAACAAACTTGATGGTCTTGATTCTGGGCTCAGTAGTTTTGTTTCAAGTCTTGTTTGTCTTTCAAAGATACTTTTGTTCTTAACTTGTTTTGGGGTCTAAACCCAGGGCTTTTATAAAGATATTCATTCTGAATACCATTCACAAACATATAGAAACCCTCTATCTTAGCTGAAAGTCTCTTCGCACACTTCCACATCAATAGACTTTCTCACCAGTACGTCATAGAGAATATAGGTGAAAAGCTCCCTCTCCGGTGTCCTCTTCGTTCCCACTGGTACACCGCAAGGCTGTGTCTTCTCCCCCCTTCTTTTTATGTTATACACAGATGACTTTAGACCTGTCCAAACTAACTGTCATAATGTAAAGTTGGCTGAAGACACTCTACTTCTGTCCCTGGTCTCTGGTCACATCCAGCAACATGAACCAGCTTTGCAGAGTATTGTCGAGCGGCCTGGGAACTCTTGCCTGGATCTCAATGCCAACTAAACAAAGAAGATGATGGTGACCTTTTCTGCCAAACGGAGGCAGATGGCTGAAACAGTCACCACATGGATTCATGGCAACCTAGTGTAAATTAGAACAGTCTTTGACAACTTGCTGAGGTTTTTCCAAAACACACAAGAAACTCTGAAAAGTGCTGTCAGAGACAGTATTATGATTTTATTGAAAATGTAATATCTTTCTTTTGTACTTGCTGGTTTATTATACTGCTCTGCTAAACAAAACAACATCTAATAAATACTGTCAAAGTCTGCTCTAAGATCATCGGACAGCCAGTCCGCTCCCTCATGGTTGTGCGCCATCAGCATCTCAGAACAGCTCACAAGATTCTTCAAGATCCCACCCATGTACTCTTTTCAGTGTTTGAGTGACTTCCCTCAGGACGCAGACTACTCTGTCCAAGCTGCAGGACACAAAGACTGAAGACAACGTTCCTCTCCAGGGCTTCTATGCATTAATTCACGTCTTTCTTGTAAATGAGTCCTCGTGGCTCAATGGGACTAACCTGTTTAAATAAAGGTTGAATGAATTGACGCACACGTTCATGTTGTCTGAATATTGTCTGTTGTTGTATGTTGTTGATGCCTGGGTTTTAATTTACGAAGTGACACTTATGTGATGCGTTCTAAATTGTCCCTTGGGGACAAATAAACCGAACAGGATTGAATTGAAACATTTTGGTCTAGTTTGAGTTCTTGATGTTTCTGACTTGGGACATGAGCTCTAGACTTGGTCATCTTTTCTTGTTCTGAATTCTACTGACCACGATCCTGTTTTTCTTTAGTTCTTCAAAAGCAAAGTAAAGGTGGCAGAGGAGAGCCTCTACACTGTAAGTCTCTGTCTAACTGATGATGGTGAAGATGATGACAATGATGATGATGATAATGAAACTGTTTGTGTGCTCAGGGTTTGAGAGGTCAGGAGGCTGATGGAGGCTATGCCCCGCTCATGACCGACCCTGAGAGAGGAAGAGTAAGTTCATCAAACATGTCCGACGACGCCACAGGCTAACTGCTAATTATTGTTCCAGATGTTGGAGTCCAGTAAACCTGGTTGGTTTCCTGTAACAGACCCAGCTTTTATTCAAAGTCCACGAATTTACCATCGAGATGAAGTCAGGGCTTTGGAAGGTCATTTCAGATACTTAATGTCAATTTATCCAGTCAGAGACCAGTTCTGATGCTTTGTCCTATCAGAGACCAGTTCTCATGCTTTGTCCAATCAGAGACCAGTTCTGGTGGTTTATCCAGTCAGAGACCAGTTCTGATGTTTGGGGTGTTGGTCTTGTTGGATTCTTCTGGGTCCAAGTTTTGACCATCCAGTAGAGCTGTCATTTCTAACCCTGGCTGAAGCCTGGCCCTGCCCAAATGGGCAGGCCGGGTTGGGCTTTTGATTGCATCAGTGGACATGCGCAACTGACGATTCAGTTATATGGCAACATGGCTTGCTATACATTCCAATTATATGGCGACATTGCTTGCCATACCTTCACTAGACACACACAGCCATTTGACCGCACGCCGACTGGCCTTGAAAGAAGTAAAACTAAGCTCAGTTAAGCTTCAGATGGGACTGCCAGGCAGCGATCCATCAAAGCCCAACTGGACGTTCAGTCAGCCGCTGCACTCAGCGGACGCACACGTTCGACGACCCAAACAGGTGAGATCACAAAATATCTGACATGTCAGAGCGGGGTCCATGTCTGAATAATGCAGAATGCAGGCAGAAACTTTGACGGCCATGAAAGAACAAACACCCCCTCAGCTCCGATCTTATGCCCCATTTGCATAAAGATTAAAAACCATCAGAACCAGAACAAATACAGAATCTTTGGGTCGGCGGCTCCTCTTCAGGTTTTTCTTTTTTTTAACTCCAAAAAATATAAAAAAAACTCACAAATAAAACAGAATTTTTTTTAGATCCAAGTTAAATCTTTGTTTTGACTTTTCTGTTGTGTTCTGACAGAACCGCCGAGTTCAGACTGACTCCACGTACACGGTAACTTTGTATTTATTTTTACGTTTTAAACATATTTCAGCAGAAATCTGTCTAATCTTCAGATCTGATGTGGTTTCATTCTCTCAGGGTCTCCAGAAACGGACCGAGGGAACATATAAAGAACTTCCTGTTAAAAGAGACGTGAGTGTTTTAATTTGTAAATCTGTCCATCAGTAAAACTTATCTCTGAATTAAAAGCTGGTTGGAGATCTAGTCCCTTCTTCATTTGTTTTTTATTGACACTAAACTAAACCTGCTTGATCTGAAAAAAGTTGCCTTAAAAAATGTGTTTTCTGTCGTTTGTGAACTCAGATTTTATTTGTTAGACGTAGAAATCTGTTTTTATTTTGTAAATTAAGCCTCAGAGGTCCTGAAACTGAATATTTTTCTTAACATTTTAAATAACTCGTTTTTGACGAATGCTGATGTTTTGACAGCGTCCGAAAAAGAACGAGCAGATTTACCAGGTGAGTCAAAACATCTGTGACATAAACCAATCTGATCACTATTGATTGATTGTACTCATTAAATAATCAATTAAAAGTCTTGCTAACTGGTTCATTGAATTTTTCAGGGTCTGAGTTCAGCCACCAGAGACACCTACGACTCCCTGCAGATGCAGGAACGTTAACGAGCCGCTGACGACTTAACTCGTTACCGCGTCAGTTGATGTTACAAATGCGTTACTGTATTAGCTGACGAGTTACTAACTCATTACTGCTTCAGCTGATGAGTTACTGACTCGTACTGCTTCAGCTGACGTGTTACTAACTTGTTCCTTCTTCAGCTGACGGGTTACTGACTCATACTTTTTCATTCAACCTTTATTTAGACAGGTAAATCCCATTGAGCCTCGAGGACTCATTTACAAGAGAGACCTGATACTGATTCAGCTGATGAGTTAGACTTGTTACTATTCCCAGCTGACTGGTTAGAAACTTGTTACTGCGTCAGCTGTTGCGTTACTAACTCATTACTATGTCAGCTGACAAGTTACTAATTCGTTATGGCATCAACTGATAAGTTACTGCTTCATCTTATGTGTTACTGACTCGAACTGCTTCAGCTGAGTAGTTACTAACGTGTTACTGCTTCAACTGATGTATTACTGACACGAACTGCTTCAGCTGATGAGTTAACTTGTTTTTATTCCCAGTTGACTGGTTAGTAACTTGTTACTGCATCAGCTGATAAGTTACTAATTGCATCAGCTGTTGTGTTACTGACTCGTTACTATGTCAGCTGACAAGTTACTAACTCATTATGGCATCAGCTGATGAGTTACTAACTTGTTACTGCGTCAACTGACGTGTTACTGACTCATTACTGCTTCAGGTGACAAGTTACTAACTTGTTACTGCATCAGCTGATGATTTAGTTTCAGCTGACGTTACTAAATCGTTACTGCTTCAACTGACAAGTTACCTACTTATTATGGCGTCAGCTGACACGTTACTGACTTGTTACTGCGAACTCATTACTGCGTCAGCTGTTGTATTACTAACTTGTTACTGCTTCAGTTGAAAAGTTACCAACTTATGACTGCGTCAGCTGATGCATTACTGACTCGTTACTGTGACAGCTGACAAGTTACTAACTCGTTACAGCATCAGCTGACTCATTACTGCTTCAGCTGACAAATTACTGACTTATACTGCATCAGCTGACGAGTTACTGACTTGTTACTGCTTGGGTTTATGAGTTACTAACTCATTACTGCTTCATCTAACTGATTACTAACTTGTTAGTCATTACTGCATCAGCTGATGAGTTACTAACTCGTTACTGCTTCAGCTAACTGATTACTAACTCGTTAGTCATTACTGCATCAGCTGATGATTTACTAACTTGTTGCTGCTTCAGCTAACTCATTACTAACTCGTTAGTCATTACTGCATCAGCTGATGAGTTACTAACTCGTTACTGCTTCAGCTAACTCATTACTAACTCGTTAGTCGTTACTGCATCAGGTGACAAGTTACTAACTCATTACTGTGTGCTGTTGGGTTATTAACTCTTTACTAACAAACGTAACTAGTATTTACTGACTCAGTAACTGGTTACACGAGCTGGTGAC